CTTAAAGCTTAGTCTTATAACTTAGCATCCAACCTGAATCTACAACTTTAATCAAGGTATTTCCTATTTCTTCCAGGTTCCACTTCACAGGGACCAATCCTGCCCTTGGTCTGCTTCCAGCGGTGCTGGCTTTCCTCCCTGGGAACTCACACATCATCCTTTCTCTCCTCACTCAGCCTCTTCACAGAGGATCTTGCTCCCACAGGATCTGCTTCACCCCCAGGCCCATGCTCCCTCTGCTCACCAGACCTCACTCCCTGAGCCTGCCACCCCTGCAAGAATCCTGTATGTGAGAGGAGAGTGGAGGCTGTACTTTCTGTTTCAACTATGCGGCTTCGCAAAATTCTGAGTCTTTTTCTCCCTCTAGAGAGTATCTGAACACATACAAAAAACACACTATCCAAGTTGGTTGGATCCAAAAAACAAATTAGATGGTGTTTGTAGAGTCGGTGTTTGGAGCAGGTGCCTGGCTTGGGTCCCAGCTCTGCTTTTGATTTCAGACTCCTGCATGCATAAGGTGAGAGGCAGTGGTAAGAGCTCAAGTAGTTGGCTGGCTGCTGCTTGCATGGCCCAGAGGCAGCTGTTGAAACATCTGAGAAGTGAACCAGCAGAAGGAAAGTCTGTCCTTGTCTCTGTTTCTCTTTCAAATAAAAGTAAAAATTTGAAAACAAATAAAGGTACCATCCTTTCAAAACAAAAAAAAAGTTTTTATTTGTCCTCAGAAATGAAAAAGCCATTCTGGGAGAGGTATTTAAAGATGCTAGTTGGGATAGCCACATGCTTATCAGTGTGCCCTGGTTAAGTGCTGGCTCTGCTTGCAATACCAGCCTCCTGCCAATGTGTACTCTCAGGAAGTGGCATGTGATGGCTCAGTTAGTTGGGCCACTTGAGAGAACAAGATTGAGTTCTTGGGCTATGGATTTGACTTGGCCTGGCAGTAGCTCTTATTGACATTTGAATTAGCATCTCAGAGAGCTCTCTGTGTCCATCTTTCTGCCTTTCAAATAAATAAAATTAACAAATAATAATGTTCAAAAAATCAGTCCAGTGTATAAGGACAATATGTCCATTCTTTAAAACATGTGTCAATACTAAAGTTACCCTATTTAAATGATGATGAAGTCACAGTCTTCATCCTAGTCCTTTTGCATTTCCAACAGCCCCGTTTAATTAATTGCAATAACTTTTGGTACAGGCAGGAGCTGAATATTTTGGGAACCAGCTGTGCTGGAGCATTCTTTGTGTAAAGCAGCAGTCAGCCAGAAGTCCAAGCCCTCAGATGTAAATGTTCAGATAGGGACAAAGATCAGCAGCCAGAGAAGGGCAGAGACAGACCAGCACCAGGTATCTGACAATGAAACCCATAAGGAGTGACAGTGCATTGACAAGGCTTGTGATGGACAAGGCCAGAGCCTCAGACATTGCTTCTTTTGTTGTCACAGCTCAGATAACTTTGATCAGTCTTTTAAAGAAATTCTAATGCGTATTATCCTGGACACCAATGCATCCTAGCTGGATGCCTTTCCTCTTCATTACATTTCTGGAATTGTCTCCAACTATAATATGTGTCTTGACTGTGACTGTAAAGTTTGGCATTTGGTCATTTGGAAGGATATGCTATATATGTTTAAAGAGTGTTAAAGAATTTCCATTTTAAGACACAAGACGGCTGAACAGTAATCTATAGCCATTTTAAGGTGTATAGAACCCGGTTGTATATAAACTAAAATTGAAATGTCAATGAAGTAGTCACAGGATGTGGTTAAGAACTTGCATTTTTTTTCAACATATTGGTGACTCAATGCTATGTCAGTTAATTCCATAACGTTATAAATTGTTACTGATGTTATGTTGGGGCTTTTAAGTGATCGGGATGATACTCTGCTGGCTCTACCTTCAGACCAGAGAAGGTCTCCCTAAGAAGCTGTTGAACTTGTCTGGACAATAACATGCTGAACTCTATGCTTGGTGTATGTTTGCAATGAAAGAATCTCAACTGAATTTGAAATGTGGCAATGCAGCAAAGTGGAGGAATCCACCATGGGGGGAGGATTAGGAGAGGGGTGAGGGAATCCCAGTGCCCATAAAACTGTGTTACATAATGCAATGCAATTAATCATAATAATAAAAAAGATTTCCATTTTAGCCCCTGTTGGCCCTGTTGTTTCTCTGACTTATTGTTCCATTTCATATTTGAGTTTAATTGTCCTTCGTTGATGAAGTTTTGGTGAGAAGACCTGCAGGTAATTGCCTTCTTCTTTGATGGCTCTGGCCTACATACAGATAAGAAACCTTGAGAAAGAGACTGCCCCTCACCTGCCACTCCCCAGATAATCTCAGATTGAAGTGTATTTGGAGTTATCATAACCTAAGCCAAAAGGCATGATTGTTTTACATTCTCAGAATTGTCACAAAGTCTTCTTCTTGTCCAAAGTGGCCTGTTGGAGTCTGCTTTGTGAGCATCAAACCACTGGACCAAGCCAAGTCCACACATCTCAGCACCCCAGAGCACTGTTTCCAAAGAGTAAAGTCACATTTCGCAATTGAAAGGGAGGATCACCTGGCATGGCAGGCACAGCCAGGAATGCCATGGGGACTGGGACCGGATGTGGTGTATACTGGTGTATGTTGAGGCCAAGTCACGGATCTGGCCTCAACAACTTCCTAGAACTCCTGCTGGGACTTTGTGACTCACAGCCTGGGAATGATTAGAAGAAAGCATTTGCCAAGTTAGGCAGAACAATGACTTTGTACTCACCTGTTCTTGCTGGAATATTTCATTTCTGCCTCAAAACATGTTTGGACACACAAAGCCAAAGATTTACCTTCAGAGATGCAGTTTGTCACACACAAAAAAGCAAAAAGATAGGATCTTGGTTTCTTTATTCCATTTTATTAGACTATTAACAGAAGAATGAATCTTTAATTTTGCCTCCAAATGTAGTAATTGTTCCTTAGCTGGGTCACTTTCTCTCTCAAAGAGAAAGTTCTGTAGTAAGAAAAATAACAAATATGATACTTTGCCAGTTCTCGGTATTTTTATGTACCTGAACTCTTCAAAAGTTCACAGACAATGCATATATTTTAGAATAACTTAACCAAAGTACCTTTTAATTCCATTGCAGATTTTTAAATTCCATCCTCTCCAAAACTTAAAATTTTTTTTAAAGATTATCAATTTTTATTTGAAAGGCAGATCAGATTTACAGAGGAGAAAGACAGAGAGAAAGATCATCTGCCTGCTAGTTCACTCCCCATATGACATCAATGGTTAGAACTGAGCCAATCTGAAACCACGAGCTTCTTCCAGGTCTCTCATGCGGGTTCAGGGTCCCAGGTCATTGGATCGGCCTGCACTGCTTTCCCAGGCTACAAGCAGGGAGCTGGAAGGAAAGTAGAGCAGCTGGGACACAAACTGACAGCCATATAGGATTCTGGGGGGTGAGATTTTAGCATTGAGCCATCATGCTGGGTCCTGAAAAAGTTTTTAAAGTATCCTCACATTTAATTACTGACTTCTTACAACCAGTCAATGACATCAGCACTCTTTCCCCTGTAACAGATGGGGAAACCAAGGCACAGAGCGGTTTAAGTTGCCAGATAGCTGGAGTTTGACAGAGTCAGGATGCAAACCTACGGAGCAGGGTCCAGAATCTGTTCCCTTAAACATTGGAGCAGTAGGAAGAAAGTCTTGTTTTCCCTGGGCAATCACTCATCATTCTCTTGATCCAGCAGATTTCAGTCTTTACCATATCCTCAAATGTCAAATGTGGAGAATGAAAAAAATACACAGAGGGGCAGGTCAATGAGATACAGCGTGTTCACTCACTGCTTGGGACGTCTGTTTCCCGCATGAACATTCCTCGCTGCTCCCTGCTAACAAACAAATCCTGGAAGTGTCAGTCAGTGGTTCAAATGTCACCCATGTGGCAGGTCTGGATAAAGTTCTGGGTTCCCGGCCTTGACTTGGTCCCACCTGACTATTCCTGGCATTTGGGGGAATTGAACTAACAGACTGAAAAGCTTTCTCCCTTTCTTTCTTTCTCTTTTTCTCCATCCATCCCTGTTCTTCCACCTTTCAAATAAATAAACGTATCGTTAAAAACGTAAGAGTCTGAAAATTCATTTATGAATAAATGGGTTTCTTTTAAAATCTATTTTTAAAGGAAGTGCAGATCTTTACAGAGAAGGAGAAATAGAGAGATCTTCCAACTGCTGGGATATGAACCAGCACCTATGTGGGATACCAGCACTTGCAGGTAAAAGATTAGCCAGTTGAGCCATCATGCTGGCCCCATGAATTTCTTTTCTATGAAAAGAAAATACCTTATGGTTGTAATAAACAGATTTACAATTATTCTCACTTTTGGAAACTTAGCTGGCTACCCTGTGCTTATAACACCACTTCATTACAGCAACAAGAAAAAACGGCATGTAGCGGTGTGAGTATTTTTTTCCCCTCTTCCTTACAGAGAAGAAATTAACCGAAAGGTTAAATGTATTCCCGGAGTCAGTTGTAAAAGGAATCAGGAGGAGTCTGGAAACTACTGAGTGGGATTTCATTTCCTCAATTCTCATATTTAACCACGAAATCAAAATTAGGTCCCGGTAAGAACTTTCTGGTAGTAAACAGGACAGGTGCCGAGCTCCCCCGAAGGGCTGGTGAACCATGATTGCTAATTAAATTCACACACATACTTAGAAGGGTCAGAAGCTGACTTCAAGAGGAACAGCAGACAGGAGAAAAGCGGTTTAGAGTGTTACACAGTCTGTAAACGATACCTGAATCCCCAATGCTCGGCGAGTTTGCTGAACTTTTGAACTCAAGAGAGAAAGCAAGTCACCCTCCTGGGAATTCTTTGCATGTTTCATTTCCTACACTCACTCATAGTTCAGTCCAGGCCTTGCCTTCTCACTGGTTAGTGGGAAAGACATTTTGAACAATCATTGTGAAAGGGAACTAAGATTAAAATGCTCAGAACATAAGTCTGTAAAAGGGATGTTTGCAATGTGATTATTTATTAAGCTTATCTGACAAACAGGATTCTTTTAAAGTATTCCATTTTAATGCATGAAAGAAATGGTCTATATGAAAACAAAAGTGGTGTTTCCAAAAAACACTTTTATTATTTGTAGTTCTGTGTATGCTTTCAGCCTTCAAGATGTGCCTTAGCATCAAAACCTATGTAGAGTTGTTCAACATCAAGTTTTGACCTTACCTGGCCTGCAAATCAGCTGCAGACAAGCAAACCACCACCAGTGGCCAAAAGTGTTTTTTTGTGACATGTGTATGCCACGTTTGCAAAAGTACGATTAAACCAGCTTTGGGGATGCACACACTTCAGTGTGGATTAGTATTTTGCATTTACAAATACATATGTAGTCAACTAAAAAGGTTAACTTTAAATAAGTCTTACCTGTGAAAAATATATAAAATATGATAGATACAAACTTTAATTTGAATGCTCATTTCACAATCAGTGCTTTAAAATATTTGGAAAAATAATTCCGAAATACATTCTGGTGGAAGACATTAAAGGGAAAGAAAGGAGACAACGTGTGTCCAACGTGCTGTCAGTAAAGCAGACAAGGGGCACAGAAAAGTTGACATCTAGATGGAAATCTGCACAAATCAGAGTGAGAAATGGAGGGCATAGTTTTTATCTCAGATCAGTTTCACCCCAAACAGAATGAAACCAAAAAAACTGACGACAGGATACGCAACGTAAGTTTTTGCCATGAATTCGTTCCACTTAGGAACGCAACAGTGACTTGTTGGGGTTTCTGGGGACAGGCCGTGGCACAGACTGGTCGGATCCCACATCATGTCTGCATTGGACTTCACTCAGGAGAATACTGCAGTGTGTCCCGTAGGAACCTTGTTCAACAGCCATCCACCAAGACCAGCTGTCTCTCCAGGCATGACAGGTGTGCAATCCTTGAACCTCGTCTATTGCTCTAAAGAGCAAGTTCCACGGGATTCGGGGAACCTCTCATCTGGTGCAGAAGACGCTGCAGGGTGCGAGCGGGCGTGGATCGGCCTCTAGTTGAGGCATGGGCAGCAGAAGCAGCAGATGGTCCGGCAAGGGTTCCTCTTCTTGTACTGCACGGCCTTGCGCACCTGTGCCTTGGCCTGTCCGGTGTAGTCGAGTGTCTGCTGCACGTTGAGCTCGATGACGTTCAGTGTGTCCGCCTGCTTCTCCACCAGCACCGCCATCTGCAGGAAGAGCTCTTGCACGTCGCGTATGCGGCTCTCCAGCCGCAGCAGCTCGCGGTGGCGGCTCTCGATCTCGTTGAGCGCCGCCCGTGCTCCCTTCACGTCGGCCAGCAGGTTCTCGGAGAATACGTCCCATTTGCCCTGCTCGAACATGTCCTCGATCTGGTCGGCAGACACCTCTTTGCCCATGATCTCCAGCTGCCGCTGGATGCGGATCTTGCAGTTGTCGCGCTGCTTCATCTCGGCCTGGTTGTACTCCTGCATGGCCTGCTGGAAGGCGCGTGCCAGGGCGCTATACTGCGCGCTCGAGATGCGCGCAACGGCCGAATGCGTGCCGTGCTGGGCCTCCGCAGACTCGCTCAGCTCCTTCATGACGCGCAGCTTGCGGTGGATACCCTCGCCCCGGGCCTTGATGGCCTTGGCGATGGAGTTGGTGTCGCGTTTGATGCTGCTGAGGCGCCGCATGGACGTGAGGAAGCGGGTGTTCTGCTTGCCTAGCCGCCGCACGTCAGCCATCAGCAGCTGGTTCTCCTCCTGAATATCTTGGATGTCTTGGTACAAGGACTCCAGCAGGTGGTCCGTCTCGTACACGATGTTCTCAGTCCCGTCAAGTTCATCTCCTCCGTCTGGGAACTGCTGGTCATACTGCTTGGACAGCTCCAGCAGTTCTGCTAGCCGATCCTTCATTGTGCCTGCAAGTACAGACACCAGGAGTTAAATTCCTATTGCTTCAGGCACACACTTTTATTCAGAGTACTAAGATATAAAAGAATGGTCAGCTCAGCACTCCCAGTTCTTTATTCTTGGGTATAGGCAATGCCTGCACTAAAGGATATAGAAAATCTGTACATTGTGCTTACACGTGAGAAAAAATATATTTATACAAAAGGCATTAACATGAGTCTTGTTCCATAGTTCGTGGGCAGCTGCAGTTCACTGTCACAGATGAGAAGAGCTCGGCCAGCAATTTAAACTCTTACATTGTGTTGGAAAACAAAGCTGCTGCGGCTTTGCAGTCCAATCATTGCAAATCAAAACAGGCACCAAAAAATTTAAATTAAAAAAAAAAAAAACAAAAGGTACAAAAGTCAGGATTTGAGTCCTGATCGTTTACAAAGCTTTGGCAGCCTACTGCGGGATGTTGCCTGTTTTGGATCTATTTCAGCGCTGGTTTACACGCCTCTTTTTGTGCACAGTAACTTTTAAAAGAGCTCCCACGCCTTACGGCTGCACCATAGTTTTGATAGACCTCAAAGGTCAATGTATTCAAGATTTGTCCCCAAAAGTCTTTCATGTTAATGCTTCACATATGGAGAGTGGAGACTTGACCCAATTATGGTGTTCAGGAAGTGGCCCCTGCCGGAGGTCTTCAGGTCCTTCAGTTGGTGTCCTGAGGCGGAAGTTCTTAAGATAAGGTTGGTGATAAAGATCCAGTCAGCTCTCTCTCTCCCCCAACCTTTCAAAATCTGTTTCTCTTTTTCTCTCTCTCCTGTCTCACCAGGCCACCCTTCCTGCATGCATTTCCCCCCCATGGCTGGCCTCCAAGAGTAACTGGGTCGGCTATCTTTCCAAATCATGAGCTGAAGTGAGCCATCCTTCTCTGTAAGTCTAACTTCTCTGAGGCATTTGAGCGTGGTAATGCAGAACTAACTAAGATGCCACACAATTCAGGCTTTTTTTTTTTCTGTTACAACTGCAAAAGGAAAGCATGCTTGATAAGAAAGGCCAACAAAATTAACAAAGATAGAAATCGAAGAAATACAAGATTTGATCATGGAGATTTCCTTCATCCACTCCTCTAAGCCGTCTACCCTAATGCTAAGCATCATGAACAAAACTGCTTTCTAAAAATCGGCAGTCTTGGGGTGGGCACTGTGATTCAGTGAGTTAAATCCTTGGTTTTGAGCAGCATCTCATGTTGGGGCACCAACTCAAGTCGCCACTGTTCCACTTCCAATGCAACTCCCTGCTAATGTGCCTGGGAAAGCAGCAGCAGACGGCCCAAATGCTCACGCTGCTGCTCTCATGTGGGAGATCCTGATGAGATTCCAGGCTCCTGGCTTTCACCTGGCCTGACTTTGATCTGGGCTTTGTGTTCTATTTAGGGAATGAATGAGCAGGTGCAAGATCTCTCTCTTGTCTCTCTCTCCCTTTCTCATCACTTTCCCTTTCAAATAAATATATATTTTTTTTAATCACAGCAGTGACTTCTCAATTTCCAATTATACAAGCCCAATAGCCATGATATAACACACTCCCGATTATCCGTGCTGCAATACTATATTTGCCCCATTTTGAATCCTCACAGATCGGTGAAACAAATGGGGCAGAACAGGCAAAATTTCCATATTTCTCTAACCTCAGTTTGATCATTTCCCTACTTAGCAAGGCAAAATAATGATCTATATATATACATTTTTTTCCAGTGACGTAAAAAATAAAAGCTTCATTTTTAGTAGCATGCATGCCAAATTAGAAAAGCATTTTACCCAGAAACATGAAACTTTATGGCTAGAAAGGTCCTCAGTTGGTTACATAATTTGCAGAAAGCAGGGGAAAGTGATGTTATTCAATGGTTGCAGAGTCAGGATCTGATCTCAAATTAAAAGCTTCTTACCGATTGAGGTCATTAAATTTATCTAGCACCACTAATGGAATGCTGACAAGTTGGATTTAACAATAAATCGAAAATGGTGAGATATTAACCACGGTCTCTCATCTACCACTATGATCCTTTACATAAATTAACTGTAAGTTTTATTCTATGATGCGATTTTGAGTGTAACAGGTATTCCTGACTACACTGCCATTTCCCCTATCTTGTGACTAAAATCAATACTAGACCTGCTTGGTGACAGGATCGGCGACTCTTAACAGTATGACAGAGGCAGAAAAAAAAGACCCAATCTAGACCATAGCCTCAATGCCTTGACATTCAATTGCATTTTTCACTTTCAGCTAAATCTAAAGGCAAGCCACACATTGGGAGAGAAATTGCAACCTGTGTTCAATATTGGCCTAAGATATTCTATGTGTTATATAATATGTAGGTATGTACATTAAAACTATGCCTCGAAAAATCATTCACCCAAAGATAATACAAAGGTAATTCACCTAAGAGGAAAGTGACAACGAGCATTAGTGTGGTTGTATGCCGTGTGCATCCTGAACACCATTTATAGGAGGCCTGCCTCCACCTGTGTGTGATTCTGTGCCATACTCACTGCCGTCTGCAGGCTTGATATCAGTATATAGAGATGAAGGAGGTCACCTGTGGTCCCTAGTAATTGAATCATGCAGTTTCAGAATAGCCCCACTAAACCATCAGGCAAATGTTTAACAGTGAAGTTATAAAGCACTTCACCATTATACAAGGAAATCTAAAATAAACTCTTGAGACATCTTTTCCCTGCTAGTTATCAGAAGTTGTTACAAAAATTTTCTTGGAACTGAGCAGGTTAGGCTTCCACTTGTGGTGCCAGCATCCAGTGTGGGTGCTGGTTTGAGTCCCACTGGCTCAACTTCCAGTCCAGCTCCCTGCTTGTATGGGAAAGCAAAGGATGATGGCCTATGGCCTTTGGCCCCTGCGCCTATGTGAGAAACCCAGAGTAACCTCCTGGTTGCTGGCTTAGGATCCACTCAGCTCTGGCTCTTGGTACCATTTGAGGAATTGAACCAGTGGTAGAAGATCTCTCTGTCTCTCCTTTCTGTAAATCTGCCTTTCAAATACAAATAAATAAATTTCAAAAATATTTTTCATTATGTTTGAAAGAAACAGAAATAAGCATGTGTACACAAACACACACACACAGATCTTCTATCTGCAGGCTATTCCCCCAAATGTCCAAAACAACCAGGCCAAACCAGGCTGAAGACAAGAGTCTGGGACACAATCTGGGTCTCCCATGAGGCTGGCAGGAACCCAGGGCTTGAGCCCTTACCATTGCTTCTAGGGGTTTGCATTAGGCCAGGATTTGAACCCAGGCCCGACGATACAGAGTGTGAGCATCTGAATAGCAGTACCAAATGCCCAGATCTGGTAGGAAGACAAACTGATAGACCCTGTGTGGAAGGCAACTTTGGAAAGTCTGAAATGTAGCTTTGCCTCAACCTATCTACATCTATAAAGGTGTGAGAGGCTCATAGCTGTAAATATTTTCATCAGCACGTGTTGGTTTTTTTTTTAAATTAGAAGTGATTTAAATGAATTACAGGCTACCACATAAATTATAGTGTTTAGAATCCTACCTAATGGCATGAACGCCATAAGTAATCTTCAAGGTAAAATAAGTAAGTAAAGAGAATTTGCAGTATTCCAAATCATTTATTTAGAAAAAGGATTTAAATAATATAAAACAGAATAATAATAGATGTTTTCTTTGCGTTGTAGAACTATAAACTGATTTTTCCTAATTTTTAAAAAAACATTTCTTTATTTTTATTGGAAAGGCAGATATACATAGAGAAAGGGAGAGAGTGCAAATGATTTCTGTCTGCTGGTTCACTCCCCAAGTGACTGCAATGGCCAAAGCTGAGCCAATCCGAAGCCAGGAGCCAGAAGCTTCTTCCATTTCTCCTTCATGGGTGCCCAAGACTTTGGGTTGGCCTCCACTGCTTTCCCAGGTCACAAGCAGAGAGTGGATTAGAAGCAGGGCCACGGGGAATAGAACCAGAATGGAACCCTGGTGCATGCAAGGGCAGGAATTTAGCCACAAGGCTACCATGCTGGGCCCAATACAATATACTTCAAGAAAACATTTGAAGTGGAAATTGCTTCAGCCGATATATGTAATTCAACTCCATTTTAGCTAACCTCAGGTAGCATAAGTTTAATCTGGTTGTAATTGTGTATACTTTGAAAAAGCAACTAGAGTTCCTTAAACAAATAATATTCCCATTTTCTGAGATTAGATTTATTTATGAACATAATTAAAACTTTGGAATAACAGAGAATCATAAGAAGTAAGTAAAATCAGTTTATATATAGGGCTGATGCAATGGCTCTTCCTGCAAGCGCTAGTGTCCCATACGGGCGCTGATTTAGTGGATTGGCACAACTCCAGCCGTTGTGGCCACTTGGGGAATAGATCAAAGGATGGAAGATCTTCCTCTCTGTCTCTCCTCATCTCTGTATATTATGACTTTCCCATAAAAATAAACCTTTTTAAAAAGTATAGCAAAAATGTATAAATGTATAAAAAGTATACCAAAATGTAAATAGGGCCACAAAAAGAAACTTCAAAGTAACTTATATGCAGTCTTGATTCTGTGTGTGTGAGCCTAACTGGAGAACTACAATAAAAGAGAAAGGAAATGAATAATTTCATTGATCTCTCTATGTCACTGTGACAAAGGATGATGTAATAACCTTGCTGAACTGCATTCACCCAATTGCTCAAAATAAGTACTTTGATTCACACGGAGGTGAAGAATTCAAAGGAAAATTCACAATCAGCCACCAAAAGTCTACTTTCATCCTAATATTCTTCTCAGAATCACATCTGTATCCTGAAAACTAAGGTCAATAGGTAACAAGGAGGACTGATTTAAGCTTCTCTTCACCAAGCAGTACAGCTTTGTGTAAGAGAGAATATAAGGATAAAGAGACGGCGGAAGCTCTGTGCCTCTCGGTCACTAGGAAGAAAACAAACCATCAGAGAGTTCAATCATTTCCAGGACCTGGGGGCCTTGAGTTTCTGATTTAGTAGAGCTGGGGTGATCTTCAGCTGATTCTAATGCACACCGAAGTTTCTGAGCCATTCTCCAGCTACTGATTGTGGTGGTGTTTTAGTCACACATACCATACAATTCTGGAAAACTTACGTTCTCCATGTTAAGGGCCATCTTCTTGTGCAAAGAACCGGCAGGGAAGGAAAGGGGTAACTACTGTCTTCTCATTGGAAGGCTGGTAGCCTCCAGGAGCAACATCTGCCAGCTCCGTGGGGTGGAAGTGAGACAAGGAATCAAAGTCAGCCAGGAATGCATGCTCAGTGTAGTGATGCAAAGGAGTGACCCGTGAATTGCAGTAGATGTAGTCATCAAGAACGGTAAAAATAATTCCAATCCCTTCACTGTAGGATGGACTATTCCAGCTGTGGCAGGCACTGGCCAAAGTGCAAAGTGAACAAAACCAAAGACTGAGCTAAACAGTTATGTAGCCCCTTCAGATACACAAATGAAACACCCGGACAGCATTCATAGTGAATGGTCATTCCCACTCAGATCCCACAGTGAAGAGCCTCCTGTGTTTGACACACAATCTTCATACTTTTCTGTCCTACCAGGAATAAAAGATTAAGAAAATTGGTTTCTACCCACCTTAAAAAATCAATAACTGGGGTTGATAATTCTAGAAATAGTGCAGTAGATACTACAGAAAAAAAAAAATAATGAAAAGTCAGTGTCCCAGCATGCCCATAAGGGAAACACTTACAAACATTGAGTGCAAGTCTTATCTCTTACCATAAAATAGAGGTTTTGTGCCCACTTCCTCTAAGAGGAACAAAACAAAAGCTGCTTGTTCATTGTTATGGGATGTTTTCATGTCCCACCCTTCAGCCCACAAATTCACATGCGGAAGCCCTAATCTCCAGTTTCTTGTGGCATTTGGATAGAAGGCCTTTAAAGTAAAAGTAAAAAATGATATTTTTAGAATGGGTCCTCATCCAGCATGACTGATATCTTGAGGAAATTTGGATACAGACCAGACATGCCCAAGAGAAGAAGCCGGGAAAACAGAGGCAGGCCATTCCCAAGCCAAGGAGCAAGATTTCCCAAGAATCCAAACCTGCAACATCTTTCATTGCTCCCTGCTGACACGAGAGAGCGGGGCGGGATCCTAGGCTCCCCACCACAGAGTTCACTGAGGAAGTGAACCAACTGATGGAATATGAAAGGTCTCTCTCTCCCATCGCCCCCACCAGGATGTCATTTTGCTTTTAAATAAATAAATCTTAGATAGAGAACAGAGGAAGACTAAAGGAAGAAAGCATACCCAAAAGAAGCGTTACACATACTGTCACATATGTCATTTAGTCATTTGTGAAGTAAAAAAGGTGTTGTCCCCGACATGTACATTCCAAATGAGAACCATCAAACACTGTCCATGTTGATTTTTCAGATTCTGAAAGCACATTTTATCTACATATAATATATGTAATACATGCATCTGCTATGTCATTTTATCTACATCTACATCTATATCTCACCTATGTCATAATTTCATAGCACTTTAAAAAGTATTGTTAGGGGAAATGGTAACTACAAGTTAGATCAGAAAGTTCTGCCTTGTGGTCCAGTGTCTTGTGAGCTTTTGAGTAGGGGTTAAATGAAGCTCGTGTCCTTGTGGAAAGAGGAAGATGCTCCTTTCTATCAGAGGATGCAGGCCTGCCCCGGGTCAGACAGCCTAGTGACGTGGGCATGGACGGATTGGCAGTTCCTCTCACCCTTGGTAAGGTCATACCATTTACTGTTCCATGTGCTTGCCCTCACACTCATCTTGTCCAGCCCCTCTTCCCACTCATCCCCCTGTCTCAGGCATGCAGGAACTAGGAAATTGCACTAAGACTGACTCATGGTAATATACCAGTGATTTTCTAGTAGCACAATCACTAAGGAACAAGTGTACTTTCCACAGCACATTGATTCAGATCCACAAATCATAATTTCAACTAAGTGAGTATAACTCGCTATTTCATTTCAATTCTTGGTTTAAAAATGAAACACTGAAGCATAAATTGTTCTTTGAACTTCTAAGGTTTTTAGGCTCAAAAGTTCCTAAGAAGTCCTTTATTTTTCTTGTTGCTGATAAAGTTGATTTAAAAAAGGGGGGGGGCAAATAATTGGTACATTGGCTAAAACACCACTTGGGCTGCCTGCATGCCATACGCTGATGGCTAGGCTTGAGTCCTTCCTCCAATTCCAGTACCTCTTCCTACTGATACTCTTGGAGGCAGCAGATAATGGCTCAAATATTTGGGCCACTGCCACTCACATGGGAGATCTACAGTAAGTTCCCAGCTTCATGTTTTGACCTGGCCTACCCCTGGGAGATAACTAGTGGATGGGAGATCTTTGCTCTAAAAATTAAATGGAAATAGCAGATTGGAGCACATATAGCAGTTACTTAGAGCTCTTTGCATAATTCAGAATTGAAGAATGCTAACTGAGATAAATTACAATTCTAAAAGCAATGGCTAGATAAAATAATAAAAAATAGGTACCATTTCCTCTTCTCATAAAGCAAGAAAGGTGCAAAGCAATCAGTCTCTACTTCTCAGTATGTGTGCAGTTGGTGTGCCCTTGGAAATCACTCTTGGGTTCCTTCAATAAGAATTCCCAGCCAATGTGTGCACAGAACAAGGCATGCAGGATCAGTGCAACCAGCAAAGGGCAGAGTGGTACTAAAAGCAATATGCTTTTGGATGGGCTCTGTAGGAAGACACTATACAAATCCAAGCAATGGCCTCGGGCCTGTCTCATACATCCTGCCCTATAGCTAACACTCAGTAAGCACTTTGGATGTGCACAGCACAGCACCGAGCAAGGTACAGACGTTAGCCCCTATGTCTCTACGAGACATCCTCACCACCCTCAGATTTTAGGGGCGGAGATCCAACGAATTCATGCAGCTCAAGCATTTGGAGCTGAGATGTAAGCTCCAAAAGCATGGCAGAGATCATCTGCGACCCAAAAAGCTGCACCAACATTTTTTCTAGACTCCCCCACCAAAAAGTTTCCGAAGTGTTTCATCTTATAGGGAATTCATCCCCAAACTGAGGCTTTGTCTTTGGAACAATTAATAGCAACTATTTAATTTTCAAATAATTACTATTTTTGTGCATTAATCCTCCCCTCCAGGATAAAAGGAAACAACAGGAGCTGGGCTTCCTAAGAGAGAACTAGAAGGACAAGCCTTGAGTCACCCATGCAAGTCTTTCCACTTTAATCTTTATTTACAAACTGAAATAGTTGTATCTTACATCTGGTTTGATTTTGCCCTGGAATGTGAAGCAAACATTTGCAGGAAAATATAGAAGAGGTCTAAATTGTGAAAAAAAAAATTTAAAAAAAGGAATTCAAATACCTACATGCTTTAATATTATTTTTTAAGATTTATTTATTTTTATTGGAAAGGCAGGTTTACAAACAGAAGGAAAGACAAAGAGGAAGATATTCCATCCACTGCTTCAATCCCCAAGTGGCCACAATAGTGGAGCTGAGCCAATCCAATGCCAGGAATCAGGAGCTTCTTCCAGGTCTCCCACGTGGGCACAGGATCCCACTGCTTTAGGCCATCCTCCACTGTTTGCTCAGACCACAAGCAGAGAGCTGGAAAAGAAGTGGAGCAGCCGGGACATGAACCAGTGCCCGTACGGGATCCTGGCATGTGTGAAGTAAGGATTTAACCATGGGGTCATCATCATGCTGGGCCTGCATTTACATGTTTTTAAAATAATCTCTTTCTGTTCAAAGACTAATTCATTGAGTGTTTTTAAAAGGAGAAATTGGGGCAAGTGTTTCAATGATCAGACACTGCTGGAGATGCCGTGTCCGGTTCTGAATCGCCTTGTTTTTGATCTCTACCTCCCACCCATCTTCCTGCTCATTCACACGCTGGGAGGGGGCAGGCGATGGCTCCAGTACCTGGGGCTCCTGCCACCCACATGTTAGACCTGGTTGGAAGTCTGGGCACCTGCCTTGAGCACAGATCCAGCTGTTGGGGGCATTTGAAAAGTGAACCAGTAGATGAAAGACCTCTCTCTCCATTTCTTTTTATCTCCCTGCCTTTTGAACAAATTGAAATAATTTATTTTAAAAAATTAAATCAATGAATTTTCCTAAATCATCAATAAGCCGGTTTTTGTTTTGTTTTGTTTTTTTTAATATTGGCTTTTTGTTCCTTTCCTTTCGGACAATGTCCTTTGTATACTTCAAATCTTGTCGCCTGCTGATGCCTCTAAAAATCTCTAAGGAAACAAATTATTATTATGGACTTACATTTTTTAATGAAGTGCAGAAAGAAAAATTATCCTGTTAGTCCAGCCTCTCTTCTCCTTCCCTGGGAAGTGGGTTATACAGAGAACACATATTCTCCTCTGCTGCTGGCTGTGAGGAAGGTCAGCTGTGGCCCGGGCTAACGGGCAGGGAAGCCTAACGGTTCTGCTGGGTTTAAGATCAAAGGTACAGCTGCTCACACCCCTACACCACATTCTTGAACCTCATCTTTGTTACTGACAGGTGGCACTGTGGCTCTGACGGCCTTCACCTTAGGATTGCCAGGTGGTATAGACCATGGGCGGGGAAGGGGCAGTCCCTTACTGCATTCTTCAGTCAATCCAAATTCACGTTCAGCCAAACCAAGAAGGTAAGAGTGGATTCTGGAATGTACCTGGCAAGGCCCACAGGATGGCCCACTGGAGGGCATGTGAATTCTAGTTCCTGGCTTTAGCCTGGCTCAGACCAGAGTGGTGAAGTAGTGGATAAAAGAATCTCTCTCTCTGTCTTTCATTTTACCTTTCTAAGTAAATACACTTTTCTGTGAAAAAGAAGCCTGGAAAAATTCTTTCATACTTTTCTCGTCCAGTGTCTTAATTTTAAAGACAAGAAAAGATGTGCCAGCCTGGTGGCCTATCAGACTAAACCTCTGTCTGAAGTGCTGGCATCCCCTTTGGGCATTGTTTTGAGTCCCAGATGCTTCATCTCTGATCCAGCTCCCTGCGTGTGGCCTGGGGAAGCAGCAGAGGACAGCTCAAGTCTTCATGCCCCTACACCCATGTTGGACAACCTAAAGAAGCTCTTGGCTACTGGCTTTGGATCGGCACAGCTCTGGCCATTGCAGCTATTAAGTGAACCAATGGATGGAAGATCTCTCTCTCTGTGTCTCTCCTTCTCTCTGTAAATCTGCTTTTTAAATAAAGTAAATAAAATGAATAAATGAAAGTAAATATCCAAAAAAGAAAAGAAAAGCTCATTGTATTAAAGTAACCTACAATCAGAAATGGAAAGAAAGTTATTAGTAGGTCCTGGCAGAGGGGTCCTGTCGCTTAGCTGGTCAAAGCACCTGTCTAATAGATCCTGGCGTGGTGGCTTAGTGGCTAAAGTCCTGGCCTTGCATGTGTCAGGATCCCATATAGGTACCAGTTCATATCCCGGCTGCTCCGCTTCCCATCCTGCTAGCTGCTTGTGGCCTGGGAAAGCAGCAAAGGACGGCTCAAAGCCTTGGGACCCTGCACCTAAAGTGGGAGACCCAGAAGAAGCTCCTGGCTCTTGGATTTCTGTTGGCTCAGCTCTGGCAGTTGTGGCTACTTGTAGAGTGAACCAGCAGACGGAAGCTCTTTCTCTGTCTCTCCTCTCTGTAAAAAGTTCTGATAAAGTTTCTGATAAAAATAAATCTTTTTAAAAAAGAAATTTATTAGTATGGAGGGGAAAACTCTTACAGAGTAGACACTCTGATTTGTAGCAATAATAATTTAATCCAGAGTATGGCATATTTAAGGGTACTTCAAAACTTTATGGAAAATTGAAATAAAAAGTTTATCTTGACACAATTTTTTTTTCAGATCTATGTCTGTAAGAGACCTTTACAATTTTTTTAGAAAATATGCATCATGAAAAAATTATGCATAGATATCTCAATTATTACCCTAAAATAGTTTTATTTTTAAATTCCATTTTCTTTGACCTTTCTGAAATACTCTTATACTGAGACTTTAATAAATGATGCTTATCAAAATTTCCATTTTATCATCAGGTAGTATCTGAACTATGAAGCACTGAATTGTTAAATTACCTCATAATGTGGCAGTCATCAATTTATATCCTATTTTCTTTTTAAAAAAATTTTTTTTTAAAGATTTATTATTACTATTTTTTTATTGGAAAGGCAGATATACAGAGAGGAGAGACAGAGAGGAAGATCTTCCGTCCAATGATTCACTCCCCAAGTGAGCGCAATGGCTGATACTATCGATCCAAAGCCAGGAGCCTCTACCAGGTCTCCCACGCGGGTGCAGGGTCCCAAAGCTTTGGGCCGTCCTCGACTGCTTTCTCGGGCCACAGGCAGGGAGCTGGAAGGGAAGCGGGGCTGCTGCGATAGAACCGGCGCCCATATGGGATCCTGGGCATGCAAAGTGAGGACCTTAACCACTGCGCCACCGCGCTGGGCCCAACATCCTATTTTCTTAATGTGGCTTCCTAAGTTCCCATTTTTTCTTCCCTGTGTATGTGCATACTTTCTGTGAGGAGCTGCAAAGCAAAGATTAGTAGACACTCTTCATAGCATCTCTGACCAAGGTACAGACTATTAGTTCCTTGCATTCGAGTGGGACTGTGAGAGTGGCATTGGCTTTGCCCCAGAACCATTGGTAAATGTGAAGCAATCAGAGACTGACAGCATTGTCCAAAAGGGTATGCTACTGGGAACCTTAATCTAACTCTGAAGAAGGTTGGGCCAGCTACGGGAGGACGAGAGGCAGCCATGCCAACAATACAGGCTAGGCCAGCCCCCAGCTAACTCACCGCATGGCTGAGTATGAGTGAACTGAGAGAGTCCAGCAAAAGGCCAGCCAAGCAACACTATGGTGAGAAAGAACACATCATGTTGGGTGTGGTTTTTATTTTTATTAGCCACTAACAGGGTTAGCAGTTTCACTTACCATGAAAACTAATGCAGACATGCGTACTTGAGGTAGCATACTACCCTAACAAACATCTTAAACTGTCTGATGGGAAGCAATAAGGTAGATAAACGTTGTGGAGGTGACAAGCCAGCTATTACAGGAGGCTGCAATAATGGTGAGGAAGCTGCTAGGGCAGCCAGGGGAAAGGCAACCCACATCATGGCGCGGTAACGAGATGGCTGGTGGAAGTGTGTGATTGAAAGGCACGGAATAAATTTTGGCTGTAGCTGCAAGGATATCCAGACAGACCCTGGACGTGTTAATTGAGTGTTTCCAGTTACATATTAGCTTTTGCAACAGGGAGATGACTTAAAAAATGAATTGTCCTATTCATAACCTTGATTCAGAGAAAGCAGAGAGCAGCCAGAATTCACAAGATTGCATGGGATGGGGAACAAAATACATGTTAACCTCTCCGTCCCTTCAGCAAGAGGAAAATCCTCAAAAATCCCACTCACTTTGCATAAAAAAATTTAATAAAATTTGCTAGATGCTTTCTTAACTAGACAAAATAGGATCCAAGATCCTCAGGGATGCTGTGTCTTAGCAGACTGACACCCAGCCCCATGGTCTAACTTGCAAGAGACTATCGCTGTGGGCTTTAGGACATGAGCGTAATTGGATTCATAGCAAATGCACAAACTGTTTTAAGAGAATTTCATGGACAAGCACAAAAGCTTAGCTTACATAAAACAGGGAGGTCTTTAAGGAAGGGGCCTCTGGCTCTTCAACTTTCTATAAGCAGTGACTGGATCAAGGCAGTCACTTAGAAACAAAAGTAAACCATGAATTACAGGAAGGGTACTTCACAGGCAAAAGGCAAGACCAGTAAAGAACTATAAACCAGCAACCACTTTCAAGGAGCAGAACTGGGACCTAATCAAGCATCTTTGCCTGGCCCAAGTATAGGAGGAGTGAGCATGTAGGCCCAGTGCGATGGCTCAATTGGTTAATTCTCCACCTCCAAGCACCGGGATCCCATATGGGTGCCAATTCGTGTCCCAGCTGCTCCACTTCCCATCCGACTACACGGGAAAGCAGAAGAGGATGACCCAAAACTTTGGGACCCTGTGCCCATGTAAGAGACCTGGAAGAAACTCTTGGCTCCTGGCTTTGGATCAACTCAGTTCCAGCTGTTGTGGCCACTTGGGGAGTGAAGTAGTGTATAGGAGATCTTTCTCTCTATCTATCCTTCTCTCTATAAATCTGTCTTTCCAATGAAAATAAATAAATCCCTTTAAAAAGAAGGA